CTCTCTGTCTACTAATATTAGAAGAACTGAATAACTGATAATTGATGATGCAGATGCTTCAATGGAGCAGTACATATTTATCCAACGTAGCAGGAGTAATAGCTTTCGTGGTTTCACTGGTGTTGTGGGCAACAAGTTTCGATCGAATCAGGAGAAAGCGTTTTGAAGTTTTCTTCTATGCTCACCATCTCTACATTATCTATGTATTCTTCTACATATTGCATGTGGGAGTTGCCTATTTCTGCATGATTCTCCCTGGGATTTTTCTCTTCCTGATTGATAGATACTTAAGATTCTTACAGTCAAGAAGGAAGGCCAGATTATTCTCAGCGCGCCTTTTGCCTAATGGCTCCATGGAACTCACTTTCTCCAAGAATCCAGGTGAATAAAATTAGTGCGATGTTCGAAATTTCTTTCTGCAAGTTTAAAGCTTTTGACAGAAGATCATGAATTCAAGTAGATCGACATGACACTAAAGAACATAACAAATGTGTCAAGCTCTAAATAAGATAGATCAACATGACACTAAAGAACATAAAATCCTCAATTCAACTCTCATTGTCAACTATACTTCAAGGTGTCAAAAATATGTTAACATTTGTCTTGGAAGAATTTATAAGCTGATTAATTTATAAATAAATAGAAATGATTGATAGATAAGTAAATAATACTTGTGAATCCATTGAAATATTTGGTTGAAAATAAAGATTGACCATTTCTAAATTTATAAATTTTTCCATATAGTTGTTTGGGTAGAATTTATAAACTGTTTAATTTGTAATAGGTGAAAATGAGTGGTCGATAAATTGATAGTATTTGTGAATTCATTAAAATGTATGGTTGAAAATGAAGTTTGATCATTTGTAAATGATTTATAAATTATGACAAACGGAGCTTAAATGTGTTTGCACATAATATGAATATTGATTTTTTTCCGCCCATTGTTTTTAAACAAATAACCTTTATACGAGGTAGCTTTAAAAGTAGACAAAGGCTCCAAGGCACGCAACTCCACGTGTTAGGACTTTGAAGAGGTATATATTAAAGAGAGAAATATAAATAAATAAGTATTTTCTCTTTTTTAGGAATTTAAATTTTTAGACAAGATGTATCAAGAATACCTTTTAACTCTTTACTAATAAGTACTTGTTTTCCTCCATAGGATTGAGTTTCAACCCCACGAGTGTCTTGTTTGTCCATGTACCAAGCATATGCAAGCTGCAGTGGCACCCATTTACAGTAATTTCCAACAGTAACTTGGAGGCAGATAAGCTCAGTATTGCTATAAAAACTGAGGGAAGTTGGACTCAAAAGCTCTATAAACAACTGTCTTCTTCGTTGGATCATCTTCAATTCTCAACTGAAGGACCTTATGAACCTTCTTCATCTCATTTTCTGAGGTGTGTATACATATTTTGTTTACAGCTTCATGAAATTATACTTTTCTCACTATATAAAAGAAAAAAAAAAAAAAAAAGAAAAAAAAAG